GACTTGTGCTCTCCCCTCCCCACCAAAATAAAAATAAATATTAAAAAAAGATATGAGTTGAAAATTTTCCAAATTTTGACCAAAGCTATACACCCTCAAATCTAAGAAGCTCAGTCAGCCCCAAGAAGGATAAAGAAAAGTCCTACTGGGGCACCTGGGTGGCTCAGTCGGTTGAGCGGCCGACTTTGGCTCAGGTCATGATCTCACGGTTTGTGGGTTTGAGCCCCGCATAGGGCTCTGTGCTGACAGCTAGCTCAGAGCCTGGAGCCTGCTTCGGATTCTGTATCTCCCTCTCTCTGACCCTCCCCTGCTCACGCTGTCTCTCTCTCTCTCAGAAATAAATAAAACATTAAAAAAAATTTATAAAAAGAAAAATCCTAAGATACATCATGATTAAATTAATGAAATCCAGTGATGTAGAGACAAAATGTATCTATCTATTTATTTTTTAGAGAGTTTTTTTTTTTTTTTTAATTTTTAATGTTTATTTATTTTTGAGAGAGACAGAGCATGAATGGGGGAAAGGCAGAGAAAGAGGGAGACACAGAATCTGAAAGAGGCTCCAGGCTCTGAGCTGTCAGCACAGAGCCTGACGTGGGGCTGGAACCCAGGAACCATGAGATCATGACCTGAGCCGAAGTTGGACGCTTAGCCAACTGAGCCACCCAGGTGCCCCGAACAGAAAAAATTTAAAGGTACACAGGGGGAAAAAAGACAAATTATATTTAAGGAAATAAAGAGAAGAATGAATTTGAGTCACAATTGAGATGTGCTATAAGAATAAAATGCACTCAGTTCATTATTAAAAATGTAAAATATAATCTTATTAATAATTTTATGTCGATTACATGTTGAAATGATAATATTTTGGGGATATTGGATTAAATACAATATTATTGTTATTATTTTTTATTTTATTTTGGTGTTTATTTTTGAAAGAGAGAGAGAGAGAGACAGAGCATGAGCAGGGGAGGGGCAGAGAGAGAGGGAGACACAGAATCTGAAGCAGGCTCCAGGCTCTGAGCTGTCAGCACAGAGCCTGACGTGGGGCTGGAACCCAGGAACCATGAGATCATGATCTGAGCCAAAGTCGGACCTTAACCGACTGAGCCACCCAAGCACCATTATTATTATTATTTTAAATGTCTATTTATTTATTTAGAGAGAGAGAGAGTGCAGGTGAGCCTGAGTGGAGGAGGGGCAGAGGGAGAGGAAATCTTATTCTTTGTGACTATACTAAAAACCACTGAATGGACACTTTTATTTTATTTTATTTTATTTTATTTTATTTTATTTTATTTTATTTACAATTATATTTTTCAGCAATCTCTATGCCCAACGTGGGGCTTGAACTCACAACCCTGAGATTAAGAGTCACATGCTCCACTGACTAAGCCAGCCAACTGCCTTAGGATACTTTTAAATGGTGAATTTTATGGCATGTGAATTATATCTCAAGAAAGCTGGTGGGTTTTGTTATTGTTGTTCTGTTTTGTTTTTAGAGAGGGATAGGGTTGTTATGGTCTAAGTGTTTGTGTCCCCCTGCAATTCCTGTTGAAATCCTAACCCCCAGTGCGATGGTGTTAGGAGGTGGGGCCTTTTGGAGGTGATTGGGGCTTGAATGGGGAGCCCTCCTGCATGGGAGCCGGTGGGCTTCTAAAAGAAGCCTCAGGGAGCTCCCACAGCCCTTCCACCATGTGACGACCACAGTGGGCAGATAAGACAGCACCTGGGTGGTTCAGCAGGTGAAGCATCTGACTCTTGATTTCAGCTCAGGTCATGATCTCATGGTTCATGAGATAGAGCCCTGTGTGGGGCTCTGCGCTGACAGTGCGGAGCCTGCTTGGGATTCTCTCTCTCCCTCTCTCTCTGCCCCTCCTTCGTGGGCATGCTCTCACACACACTCTCTCAAAATAAATAAATAAACATTAAAAAAAAAAAAGAAAAAAAGACAGCAGTCTATGGGCCAGGAGTCAGAGCTCTCACTAGACACTGAATCTGCGGGCACCTTGATCTTGGACTTCCAGCCTCCAGAACTCCGAGAAACAGTTTATAAGTCACCTAGTCTATGGCAACTTATTAAAGCAGTCTGAGGGGACTAAGATGCCCCTACTGTCTGTCTACTGTCAGCCAATCAGCCAGAGCCGTCCTGTTAAACTTAAGTTGGAGGACACCACTCTGATGACAAGCCTTCTGCTGGCGCAGGTGATGTCCGGTGCCCGGGGTCTGCTGCTCCCTTTCTGACCGCACCACCACCTGCAATCCTCTGTGCATTTCAGCCGCTAGGCCCTCCTTCTCTGGTCTCAAGCCTTTGCTTTTGCTGTTGTTTCTCACCCTCTTTCCCTGCCCTATCCTTCCCTTCGTTCCCTGCTTCTTCGTTCCGTAATTGTTCAGCCCATTGCACGTGGGCCCTGGGAGGGCAAAGATCTTTGTGTGTTTTGTCCACGGGCATGTCCCCAACAGCTGTCACAGTGCCTGGCTTCCAGTGCTTAATATATGTTTGTTGAGTGAATAAGGATGGATAATTTAGGGGACTAAACAGTGGAGATGAGAGAAGAAATGAAGGCAACAAATATTGAGGTTGCTCGAGATTGGAACCATGAAACAGGGCAGCACGTGAGAACGTGGGGGTGGTCGTGGATCTTGGATGCCTCCTCTTCTTATCCCAGGCCTCTGGCATGAGCACCCCCTCAATAGTTTGGGAGAAGTGTTGGCTCTGGGTGGGAGGAGGGGAGGAAAGGAGGCAGCAGGGGGCCAGAGGGCAGAGGTTGGGAGGGGCCTGAGTTCCATAGGGTGGGGGAGGGGAACTCAGGGGAACCACTTCTTACTCCCCTACCCCGAGGGGGCCAGATGTAGAGCCAGTATTTTAGAAATAGCATACATAACTAATGAAGACTGGCCCTCTGATCAACAAGCAGATAATTCCCGATGGGGCTGACGGGGGTGGGGGGTGCATGGAGGATTTGGTGGCCCGCCAGGGAGGTGAACTGGCACCTGGGTTCACTCTCCAATCAGGAATGAGAAACATTGGCTCTTGAGGAGAGAGAGGCTGCCTTGTGACAGGCAGGAGTTGGCTGTGAAGGCTGGGGGCACAGGCTGAGATGGAGATTACTAAGTGGTTAATGATTTCTCCTCTCCCACCCACCCAGACCACCCTGTCAGATAGGTACTTTCCAATTTCCTCATAGCTCTTTGTCTGTGTGTTTTGAAAAAAATTCACCGCACTATGACTGTCTTACTTGTTTTCTCATCTATTTACTTCCCTTTCTCAAATCTAAACTCCAGGAGAGCCAGGATCTAGCTTCTCTTGTTCCCTGCTCTAGTCTGAGAGTCTAGTACAGTGCCCGATATATACAGAAGGCACTCAATAAATATTCGTCAAAGGAATGAATGGACCCAGATGGAAGAAAACATTCTTATCACAATGCTTCTCCCTGGGAGGCCTTGGGGACAGGGCAGTCTGCTCTTCTTTCTTGGGTTGTGTCTCTTGTTCCGTGAAGTGTCACAGACACCTGGCTCCTAAGGCACTTTGTTAGCCTGAGGAACCTCTGTCCTAGGTGCAGTCCCTGGGTGAAAGCCCTTGTCCTGGGCTCAGGCTTGGAGTGGTGGCTGTGGGGAAGGGGGTCCCAGAATTCCTGAGAGATGGATTCATGTGGTGGGGGCAGGGGCGAGTATCACCACAATCTAGAAAAGAGGATGAATCTAGAATAATCTAGAAGAGAGGATGAGAATCTTCAGCAAGAGGGGCTGAAGAGCAGACTGCACATTTGAGAAATATTTAGGAGGTAAATTAAGTAGGACAGGTGATTGGTTGGTTACTGAAGGGAAAAAACTTGGGGCACCAAGAATGATCCTAAGGTTTTAAATGAATTAGTGTCATGGACACCTGGGTGGCTCAGTCCATTAGGCATCCAACTCTTGATTTTGGTCAGGTCATGATCTCACAGTTTCCTGAGTTCGAGCCCCCTGTCAGCCTCTACGCTGACAGCTTGGAGCCTGCTTGGGATTCCCCCTCTCTCTCTCTCTCTCTCTCCTCTCTCTGTCCCTCCCCTGCACTATCTCTCAAAATAAATAAGCATAAAAAAAAAAAAAGAATTCATGCCATTACCATCTCTTTGGGGGCTTGCAGGTTATTCCAGTCTAAAGGCACAGAAATGCCCGCCCCCCCCCCCGCTGCCCCGCCCAGCTCATTCAGGACTTGGGGCCCACCTCCCGTGGTGCACTGCGGAAGGGGCGCAGGTCCTGGATTGGAGGTAGACACACTCTGAGCACTGCCGGCCACCAGATAAGGGACGCTCTGGGGCCACAGGGGACGAGGTCGGAGGAGTCTTCACCGAAGACCTTTAAGCTGTGTCTGCAGGAAGAACAGGTGTTTGCCAGGGTGGAAGGCGGTGGGCGAAGTGAATGAGGGCTGGAGGTAAAGCACCAGGAAAGGTAGAAATAAGAAAGAGGGCTGTCAAGCGGCTGGGGCACGGACGCGGGAGTGAGCGCGAGGATCACTGTGTGACGCGCCTGACTGGGCCCCGCGTTCAAAGAGTCCTGGGATCTGGAATCATCTCCCAGCTACCGGGGAAAGCACAGCACTGCGCTACTTCCCAGATCATATCCAGGGAGGGCAGCCGGCAACCCCCGCGGGAGCTGAGGGAGGCCTTGCCCGTAGGTAGGGACCTCCGAAGTCTCTGTGCCGGAATTCCTGGGGAGCTGCGACTTTGAGCAGAACCATTCTCCGGAGGTGGAGAGGAGAGGAGAAACCCTGAACTCGGAACCAAGCCCATGGAACCGGCTGCAACCGCCACTCGACTCTCTCCTTGTTCTGAATTTTTGCGCTCCGCTCCGCCACCTCCGTCCCTTCGCGCGGGACCCCCAGTCCCGGGCACCACTGGTTGTTTCCTGGCGACCCCCTCCCGCGCGTGGTACGGCCCGACGGGCGCCTTCTGCAGGCGCAGGTTATAAAGGCAGGCCTGCGGCGCAGACTGCGCACCCAAGGTGCGCTCCGCAAGAGTCCGGGCACAGCCTCGCGGGGCACCGGTCCAGAACCGGGGATCCAGCGGGAGTCACCCCGCACCCCCACCTGCAGCCAGTTCCGCTCCAGAGCCCTCCGCGCAGCCTGCAGCCGCCCCTGCGCAGCCACTGGCGGCCCGACAGGGAACGGGATCCAGATCCCCACCCGTCTCGGGACCTCCAGCCGGCGCTCGCCCGACCTCCAAGGCTGGACCCGCGGCAGGAACCCCGCGCGCGCCCGCATTCTCAGCCGTCCGGGGGAATAGCCAGTCCGTGCCCCGCAACTCGGACGCGCAGTGGACTCGCTTCATATTCCGAGGGCCCTTTGGTCCCCGGGCCACTGGCCTGGGGACTGAAAAGGCGGCGGGCATCTGGAAGACGCCGGCCGCCTATATCGGACGGCAGCCTGGGGTGTCGGGCCCCAGCGCGCCGCCTTTATTCGGGAGCTGGAGGAAGGCACATTGGGTACCCAGGACCCCAGGGCGGGTGGCACCTGGGCATTTCTGGGGGGGGAGGCGTCGGTTCCAGGCGCCCCGTCCCCTCTAGCACTCGGTCTCACCCTTCCGCCCACTTGCGATATCACTGTCTGCGGTGCCTGTTCGGTCTCCTCTTGCCCATTTTCTCTAACCTTCTGTCGTCCCCTGATTGCTGTTGGTGAGTCAGGTCGGCGCACCCGCCGGCTTGGCTTCCCCGTTTTGCGCGCCTGTTGCTCCGCAGATCTGCGCGCTCTCAGGACCCCCTCCTCAGTCAGCCGCAGTGCCTGGGGGGCCGGGGGTGCGGGAGGGCGCTGCCCGGTGCGCTCTGAGCCTGCGCTGGCCCCCTGCGCCACGCTGGGGAGGTGGGCGGGCGGAGGGAAGGCTTTGTCGACCTTTTGGCTGCGGGTGTCCGAGCCTCGCAAGTCCCAGCCTAGGGGTGGGCGGGGCCTCCGCTTTCTTCCCCTGGTGTGCTCTCCGGGGTCTCGGGAGACCCTGGATTAGGGCTAGAGGCTCAGGAACCCCTATGCAGTGCCGGAGGAGTCCCTTCCTCGTCACTACACGCAACAAGTGCAGGGTGGGTGACTGCGTCTGTTGTGTGACCCAGGAGGCCCTCTGGCTGAGGGGAGATGAGTCCGCGGCTGTTCTTCCACTAGCCGCCACATTCCCCTAGTGCCAGGGACCCAGGCGTCCTGAGAACTCATTTCCACCCGAGCTTGGAGGACTGCGATCCCTTTACCTCACCCAGGCCCCTCCAGAGCACAAGAGTCCGTTTGGCCCTGGGAGCAGGGAACGGCTGCTGAGTACTGGGGTGTCTGGAGAGAATATCGGGGGCAGGAAGGGAGCTATCTTGTCCCCGACTCTTGTTGTTGAGGGAGAACTGAGACAAGGCAGGAAACAGTGGGATGTGGGGTAGCATATGCCCCCCTTTTCCCAACTTGGTCTCCACTCCCATTTTTAAAAAAAAATTTTTTTTTAATGTTTTATTTATTTCTAGGAGAGAGAGAGAGACAGCGTGAGCAGGGGAGGGTCAGAGAGAGAGGGAGTCACAGACTCTGAAACAGGCTCCAGGCTCTGAGCTGGCAGTCAGCACAGAGCCCGACGCGGGNCAGACTCTGAAACAGGCTCCAGGCTCTGAGCTGGCAGTCAGCACAGAGCCCGACGCGGGGCTCGAACCCACGAGCTGTGAAATCATGATCCAAGCGAAAGTCGGACGCTTAACCGACTAAGCCACCCAGGCGCCCCCTCCACTCCCGCTTTTGCAGAGCTGTGTCCCCACCGACCCCCGCCAGTCAAGATCACCCAAGAAGATGTCAAAGTGATGTTAAATTTGCTAGAGGAGGCATGGACTGACTTCCCTGTCCCGCCGGCCTGAGCCAGGCCTCTGTTTTAATTCCGCCCTGGAGGGGTAGGAGTCTTATCTTTTTTTCTGCTTGATTATTTCTCTCGGGGCCAAGCTGGGGGTCCCTCTTATGGAAGGCAGGTATATGGAGGATGTCCAGGCTGGAACTGCTCTTAGAGCCATCTGGTCTGATCTGCTCTTTTCCAGAAGGGGAAGCTGAGTCAGGCCCCGCAGAGGGCCAATGGCGGGTCCTTTTCTAGTACCCTGGAAAACTAGGGTGTGGGGAGGGTTTCCCCTAGTGGCCTGGCTTCCCTTTGCCCCCTGTGTACTCCCTAGCTTCTCCCACCTGTCTGGGGGACCTCATAAAACAGGAAAGTATTCCCCATGGATGGGGGGTCCTCTGCAGAGAGAGTGGGTCCTAAATACAGCGGCTTGCATTGGCCGGTCTCTGGTGAGATGGAACAGTGTTCTGATGGAGGAGAACAGCAAACTGGAAGCCGTGCTCGGCTCAGCCAGGGAGGAGGTAGCCAGTGGGGAGGAGGGGAGGGGGTGTCATCTCAGACCTACTTACAGTCCCCCCTAGCCCCCCACGCCGTCCCTGGACCTGTGCTCGCCCCCACCTTGGTTCCAACGGAGTCCCTCTCCCCCACTGCCAGATTTTACGCCTCGACACCAGGTGAGCTTGCGAGATGACCTCCTTCAGCTCTACTCTGACTCTGAGGAGGAGCAGGAGGAGGAGGAAGAAGAGGAGGAAGAGGAAGAGCACAGCATGATCATTCCTATGGAGCCCCTGAGTCGTGAGTGTCCTGCCTTGTCACCTGGGCAGCCCCTTCTCCGTACCTCAGTTTCCCTGTTTGCAAACAGGAACGCTGACGGTGTATCTGCTGGCAGGATCGCTGAGGCTGATGGAGAGCACCACGCTGAGCCCGGGTGGGCAGACCCTGGGTGGCCTGGGACCTGGGTCCCGCACCCCTTGAACCCTGACTCCCATCGCTGTCACCCCTAGGACTTCTCAGCGACAGGGTCGCTGCCCTACTGCCCTCAGCGGGCAGCCCCGCAGGAGGAGGAGAATGAGCAGCTGAAAGAGGAGGTGAGCATATGGGAAGAGGGCGCATCCACGGCCAGGGGCCCTTGACTCCCCTGCCCCTTCCTCTCTCCCTCCCTCCAGGCCTCTCAACTCGACACCCTCGAGGAGGAGGAGCAGATGCTCATCCTGGACTGTGTGGAGCGGTTTTGTCCGTGAAGTTGTACCTTGAGGAAGAGGGAAGAACTCAGAGCTCAGAGTTTGGAGGTCTGAGTTCGAGTCCCCACTCTGAACTTCTTAGCTGTGTGAGCTTGGACGCGTTCCTTGACCTCCCTGAACCTTCATCTTTAGCAGGGGGAGGTACGTTCTCAGTGTGGACCTCTCCGGGGACACAGCTGAGAAAGTGCATTGAGTACACTGTAAAAAGCTCTACAGAGGCCCTGGGGCCCCTCCAAGCTTATGGCCTTTTGTTATTTAGGGCACGGGAAGGAGTGGCCTGGAAGCAAGAAAACCAGGAGCTGCCAGAGACCAGGCACTGAGGCCCTGGGGCCGGACCAGGGCTCTGCTGCCACCGGGAGTTTCTGAAGAAGAGGGAGGCACAGTGTTGTCCCTGAGGAGCTCAGGTCTGGCTGTGAGATGCAGACAACAGAGGGCAACGGCTGAACTCATGCTGCTCCCCTCTCCCCAGGCCTGACCTTCCTTCCCCCTGGCTCCTCAGCTCCCCCCTTGGCCCCACGGGTCCCCAGGCCCCTGACATAGGAACTGGTTCCTAAGTTCTGTTGCTTCCGCCTCCTCAGAGAGGCTCAAGTGTCCTTCCTCCTCCTCACCTCCCTGCCTCTAGCTCAGGCCCCTTCTTGCCTGGTCTCCCAGCCTGGATTGCTGCCCTTCTGGGTCATTCTGCACAAGCCCAAATAAGTTTTCTAAAACCACACCTGACCTGCTTAAAACGCCAAGCTTCCCATTGGCCATAGGGTAGCCTCAGACCACACCCCCCCCCCCAACAGCCCCAACGATCTGGGCCCTGCCCAGTGTCCGAGCCCTCCCTCCCAGTGTCCTGTGATTGTCCCTAAGCCTCTCCACACCCCGTCTGGGCCTTGTTTGCCCTTCTGTGCCTGGCCGAGGCCCGCTCGCCCTGCAGGGGTCCTAGCTTTGCAGCCCTGGTAAGGCTGGACCGGGCGCCGCAGCTGCGACCCCCAGGGCGCCCATTATACTCGCTCCCTCAGAGCCCAGCTACGCACCGGCGGGGTCTCCTTGCCCATCACTTTCCCCACTGGACTTGAGCCCCGTGTGTGCTGGAACCAGGTCCTGCAGACTGATCACCCAGGGCCTTGCTCTGTGTCAGTCAACAAACATTTACTGAAAAGAAGACCGAGTGAGGAAGGTGAGTCCTGCAAACCCAGAGCCCTCCGCAGGAGCTGAGGGGTGGGGTGGACAGAGGCGTCGGGAGGGCCGGACTGGTCCCCGAAGGCCAAGGGAGCCGGCGCTGACCTTCTGTCCCCGCTTGTCCCCAGCTGAGGCCAGCCAGCAGATGGCTGAGCTGTCAGAGGTGCTGGCGCTCAGGATGGAGAACCAGGACCAGCAGCAGAGGGAAGTCACCCAGCTGCAGGCCTGGGTCCCGAAGCGGCAGCAACGCTGCCGGTCGGTGCATCGGGGTGTGCCCAGGGCTCCCTCCTGTCATGGCCCCGCAACACCCAAGCCCCCTCCTCCCTGTCCCCGCCTCCTGGGGCTCTTGAGCTCAGGCCAGGCCCCAGACCCATCTCTGCGTCAGAGTCTGAGTTGGAGGGGTCTCAGAGAGTCCTCATTCTGCCCCCTTGTCCCAGGGAGGAGACCAGGTCCCAGAGAGGGTCACGGGATGTTCCAGAAACCAGACCACGTGACTCTCCTGCCTTGTGTGCCCTCATTCTTTTTTTTTTTTTTTTTTTAAACGGCAGGGTTTTTTTTGGGGGCGCCTGGGTGGCTTAGTCAGTTAAGCGTCCGACTTTCGCTTAGGTCATGATCTCGCGGTTCGTGGGTTCGAGCCCCGCGTTGGGCTCTGTGCTGACTGCCAGCTCAGAGCCTGGAGCCTGTTTCAGTCTGTGTCTCCCTGTCTCTCTGACCCTCCCCTGCTCACGCTGTCTCTCTCTCTCTCCTAGATATAAATAAAACATTAAAAAAAATTAAAAAAAATAAACAGCAGGGTTTTTTTTATTTTTATTTTTAATGTTTTATTTATTTTTTAGAGAGAGAGAGAGAGACGGCATGAGCAGGGGAGGGTCAGAGAGAGAGGGAGACACAGAATCTGAAACAGGCTCCAGGCTCTGAGCTGTCAGCACAGAGCCCGACGCGGGGCTCGAACCCACAAACTGTGAGATCATGACCTGAGCTGAAGCCGGACACTTAACCGACTGAACCACCCAGGTGCCCCTTATGTGGCCTCATTCTATGTGACTTCGCACTTAAAGGGCTGCCAAAGTCTGACCCATGTGCCTGGGAAGACCTGCCAGACGTGAGGGGGTGCTTGGGGGTACGGTGCTCACCAGGCTTGGCTCTTTCCAGTATGGGGCTGAGACCGAGAAGGCAGCAGCAGCTGGCTTCGGAGAAAGTCATCCAGATGCAGCTCCAGGATGAGGTGGGGCTCCCTTTGACTCCTGCCCCGGCCCTTGAGAGACCCTGGCCCAGCGCAGGGATGAGCTCGGGGCCCTTGGTCAGCTGCCTGACTTTCTGGAAGGGGGGGACTGGGTCTGTCCCTTTGCACACTCTCAGCGTCAGGCACGGGACTTGGCAGGTGGCATCTGAGTGGAGTAGAGTCCAGGGACCTACCTGGGGGCACCCTGCTTGTCATTATGCGCATCAGGGTCTGGGTCTCTCGCTTCTTAGCCCCTTGGGAAAGGGTGGGCCTGGGTCTCAGCGGAACCTGTATGTGGCTTCCTAGCTGCACGCCCTGCGGGAGAAGTGCCCGGAGCACGGGGACATGCTGACCCAGGCTCAGGAGGAGGTGGAGACCCTCCGCCAGCAAGCGCCGGTGTCCACTAGCCCTGTCACCCAAGCACATACACTGTACCTTTAGTAAGGACCCCCGGCCACCCGCCTTTTGCCTCTGTGTGCTTGTGCCTTAGCCCCGCTGGCTGATTTCCAGCCTTAGTCCCTTTCTGTGCCTGGAAGTAGGGGGCTGGAGCTCTGTGGGGATCCCCTGGTAATCCCCTCTCTCCACCACGGAGACCCTTCCTGGTTTTCGGGACACCCTGGCTGGGGAGCCCAGGAGGTCTGTAAGGAGGATTATCTCAGACCAGGTGTTTTTTTATGGAAAGGTGCACTGCTGGGGCCCCCGGGCCCTTGCCTGACCCACACTCACTTTCCCAGATTGGGGAGGGGGTTTGCTTCTGACCTTCATTCACTCCTGGAGCCCCTTGTTTGCAGCCCGAGCCCCTCCCCCTCCCCCCCTTTTCTCTGTCCACATGTCTGGGCCCGTCATTTCTTCCCAGGAGTTTTTCACATGTTGGGGCCCCAGGGACTTTGGGGTTTTAGCTAATGTTGCTTTGGGACAGTGAAGGCCCTTATCTCTGTTGAAAGAATCCTGGAACGACTGAGGAGGAGGGCATGTCACAGCTGAGGAGGAGGACATGTCACAGCTGGGGTAAGCTGGCTAGGGGCCCCCCCGTCAGCTGCCCTCACTTTTCAGCAGTCAGACAACCACCTGCAGTCCTGCTGCCCTAGAGAAGGCCTTGTGCTCTGGGCCCGCTGGGCTGAGTTGTTCTGGAAGGGGCTGCTCCCTTTTCCTTCAGATCTTGCTCCATAGGTGGCCACGTGATTTAGGCTGTTCCAAGTGGGGACCGAAGCCTTTCCTTCACCTTGACAGAGGCTGAGAGTAAAGGAGCACTGGCCTAGGAGCTGGAAACATTTGGGACTGAGTCCCAACGTGGTCCCTTTATTGGCTGTGTGTCCTTGGGCAAGTGGCTTGAACTGTCTGAGCCTTACTAAGATGGATTTGTTCCTATGGCAACTGGCTGTGGGATGGGCTGTAACAGTTAAATCATGGAGGGGAGCAGAAGGAATATTATTCTTGCTGGTCTGTTCTGTGCAGTAGGGTGAAGGCGGGGTGACCGTCCTCCCTACCCGGTGTCTGGGCTGGGTGTTTGAAGCCTTGAGGCTGGTACCCAGTTCCCTTTTCTCCTGGCTGGGACAGAACTGGGGAGTAGCCATCAGATCTATGTGTAGACTGGGACAGAGAGCAGGAGAGCTCCTCAAGCCTGGTGGCTGGAGATGTCCTAGGGGAGGGTGGAGGAGGGGGGCTGGGGACTCTGCCTGGGGTTGGCTCTCAGCAGGCACAGAAAGACTTTCCCGTCTCCCTGCTCAGATACAGGCTGTGCTGCAGTGAGGCTCCCTGAGGGAGCAGGACCGGGGGTTCGAGGCTAAGAAGGGGTTGCCGACAGCAGAGGATTTTGTGGCGGAAGATTGTGTGTCTGAGGAGGAGCTGGGGACCACAGAAGAGGTGGCGTCAGCTGAGGAGGGGGCGACAGAAGAGGCAGAACTGGTGTCTGAGGAGGCTGAGGCCTGGGAGGAGGTGGAGCCGGAGCTGGATGAGGCAATGCAGAGGACCATGGTGACCTCAGCCTTGCAGGCCAGCGGCTTGGGACCCTCTCATCTAAACATGAAACGTGTCCTCCAGCAGCTGGCTAACTGGCGGCAGGCACGGTATGGTCGGCAGCTGAGGCAGAAGATGCTCCAGAAAGGTGAGTGCTCCCGCAGGGGCCGCCCTCCAGCCAGCCTGAAGAGCTACAGATCAGCAATGAAAGGTGAGGGTAGGTGAGCACCCCAAGTGCTCACTTACCCCAGCTTGGCCTCACGAGTGTGGTGATTTGCATGAAATTTGCATATTATTTGCATAGGCGTCTCCAGGTTCCTTCAGTGGGAACTATGGCCCCAGGACTCATTTCTGTAGAATTTGCATAGGATTCCAGATCTCTACCCCTTTTTCTCCCAGGGTATGAAGGCTGAAGGTTAAGACCAGGGACTGCAGTCCCCCACTGTGCCTCACCTCCCGGTCTCTGCTTCCCCCTTCTCCCTGTCTCCCACTCTGCCACCGGATCCCCAAGGCTCCTCAGCCCTGCAGTAGGTATAGGGAGCAGGCTCAGAGCAGCAGCTCGGGTGCTGATCCAGCCCTTTCAGAGGCTAGGGGAGGACTGGGCCAACCACCCTCCCAGGGCTTGGGAGAAAGAGGGGTGTTCTGGGGCCACCCAGGCCACTGGGACAAAGGCCTCTGCCAGCAAGGATCACAGGTGGACCAGTCCCCTGGGTGAGTCTGAAGATAGGCTGGGTCTCCTCCAGGGTGCTGGGGGGGTGCGTCAGGGTCTCCTCTCCCCAGCTGGAAGCCCCAAGGTTTGGGAGCTGCATCTGCCTTCTGTCCCAATGAACCTGGGCTGGGGCTTGAGGACCCAAGCCCTGCTTTCAAGGAGCTCACAGACACACCAAAGGTGATTTCATGACTGGCACTGTTTCCTTTAGTTCTCGCACTCCTGTAGCGAGCTGTTACCAGCCCCCTTTGTCAGGTGAGAAAACTGAGGTTCAGAGAGCTAAAGCAACTCATTTAAGGTCACATAGCTAGCGTGGGTCTGAGCCTGTTCTGCTCACTACTCTGCTAGAATTTTTCCTGGCCTGTCCCTCCCCTCTGACCCTGTCCTGGCGCCTGCCTGGCCTGTTTATCAGCTGTGAAATTTGTTGCCTTACCATTATACGTGGACTTCCCCCACTCCAATGGCCGTTTGGTCACTGCTGGGCAGCCTCATCAGGGTGGCCATGTAAGGTTGTGTAGTTTGTAAACTGAACAGTGACCTCTTGGCCGGCCAGTGGGCAGCTCGCAAAACTATCAGTTTTGGCTGCTTTTCTGATACAGCGACAAGGCCTCGGCCCCTGCCTGCTGGCCAAGCCCTCAGTTACCATCCACTCCTCTTCTCTTTCAGGCTTTGCTCTTTCCCAGCAGCCTGCAGAAGCCTGAGGCCCCTCCCTCAGCTGCCTGGCCAAGTCCCACCTACCCCAGACCCTCCTTCCCATCCTCCCAAACAGGACCCCCTCTGTCTGTCACCAGCCTGCCTTCTGTCCTGATGAACCTGGGCTGGGGCTTGAGGACCCAAGCCTCGACCCTTTGCAGAGATAGGGGGCCCTCGTTCTGCTGCTGGTGCAAAAGCTAGTTCAGGTGCCGGAACATTCCAGATGTTCTGCCCTTTCCCACTCTACATCTAAACAGCTGGAGTGTTTCTGCCCCCACTTCAGTCTGGCCCTGTTCCCTGCTGTGCTGCTCACTCTCCTGTTGCATGTCAGGCTGTGCACCTGCTGGTGCAGGAAATAAAGGACCTGTGCACAACCTGGCCTGGACTCCAGCGTCTTTCTCTGGGAGCATGTGTGCACATGTGTGTGTTCATGCACGCGGCTTTGCTGGGGCAAAGTCATGGAAAGAGGATGGGCTCCAACGCTGAATCCTGTGCCGCGGACTTTTATTACATACATTACTTAGTCACATCAATGACCCCTGTGGGGTGGTGGGTGATCTGGTAAATGGTTGTTAGAGGAAGAAACAGACAGGTCCAGGCAGTCTATCCGCTAGTTGCAGAACGGGGATGCGAACCCAAACCCTCAGGCCTCTGGAGCTCATGCTCAGACAGGCTCCTTTCCCTATTTTTCTGCTCCAGGGATTCTGGCCCAGTGCCATAAATGCGAGGGGAAAGGCATGGGTGAGAATCACCCACTGTTTTAGGTAGATGTCCCTCAGATCTGGAGTCAGACCTGGAACAGCATGTGAAAACAAGTAGTTTGTTTGGAAGATGATCTAGGAATTGCTCTTGGGGATAGTGGAGAGTTGAGAACGGAAGGAAGCTAATGAAAGGGAGTGCTAGGCACCGATGCTTAATCCTGCAGGGAACTCTGGGAAGAAGTGTAGCCTTTTGCAACTCAGGTGTGGTCTGTGGACCAGCGTCACCCACATCTCCTGGGAGTTTGTCAGAAATACAGATTCTCAGGTCCCACCTAAGACCTATGAGTCAGAATCTACATGGTAACAAGGACCCCGGGGAAGGCACATGTATATTGAAGTTTGGGACGCACCAAGATGGACCCTACTCAAAGGCTGAGGAAGCTGGGCGATGCACATTTGTCACTGGCAGTTTGGGGGCATTGATATATTGCACTCTGTGCCCTGTGCATGGGTGAGGACAAGCCGCCTGGCACAGAATCCCAATGCTTCCAATGGAATATGGATAGCACATGCTGGAATGTATATATATATTTTAAAGTTTATTTATTTTGAGAAAGATCATGAGGGGGAGAGGGGCACAGAGAGGGAGAGAGAATCCCAAGCAGGCTCTGCACTGTCAATGCAGAGCCCAACGTGGGGCTCAAACTCAATGAACCTTGAGGTCATGACCTGAGCTGAAATCAAGAGTTGGATGCTTAACCAACTGAGCCACCCAGGTGCCCCTGTAATGGATATTTTTAAATGGCTACATTTTATTTTTTAATTTTTCAAAAAGTAATCTCAATACTCAACATGGGGCTCAAACTCATGACCCCGAGATCAAGAGTCACATGTAAAATGAACTGGCCAGGTGCCCCTAAATGGCTACACTTTACATGGTTATTTGAAGGCCTACACCATATCCGTGATTTTGCCTCTTGGCCTGCAAAGCCTAAAATATTTCCTATCTGGCTCTTTCAGAGAAAGTTTGCCAGGCCTAGGGGTCTGCACTGTAGCTCTTTTATCGGGACTTGTCAGAGACTTTGTATGGTACCCTTGTCCACCACGGATACTTCTAGAGCTGTGGGGTCCGCCAGGTTGTATGGTTAAGTCAGCAGGGCTGCCTGGACTGGCCTGAGAATTCTTTCTTTAAAAAAGTTTTTTTTACTGTGTATCTTTTTTTTTTTTTTTTTTTTTTTGAGAGACAGTGTGAACAGGGGAGGGGCAGAAAGAGAAAAAGAGAGAGAGGGAATCACAGAATCTGAATCTGAGCTGTCAGCACAGAGCCTGACATGGGACTTGAACCCATGAGCTATGAAATCATGACCTGAGCTGAAGTCAGACACGTAACCAACTAAGCCACCCAGGCATCCCCTGGGAATTCTTTCTTGATTTGGGCTCCACTGGCGGCCTCCTGATTCACTTGATAATTGGGTCGGAGCAGTATTTCCAAGTATGGCAGTGTTGATTTCAAAACCCAGAGAATCCGGGGCGCCTGGGTGGCTTAGTCGGTTAAGCGTCCGACTTTCACTCAGGTCATGATCTCGCGGTTCGTGGGTTCGAGCCCCGCGTCGGGCTCTGTGCTGACTGCCAGCTCAGAGCCTGGAGCCTGTTTCAGTCTGTGACTCCCTGTCTCTCTGACCCTCCCCTGCTCATGCTGTCTCTCTCTCTCTCTCCTAGAAATAAATAAAACATTAAAAAAAAAATAAAAAAAAAAACAAAACAAAAAACCCAGAGAATCCTAGCAAGCCTTGTGCCTCTTTTTTTCAGTAGTAGAGGTGAGGTTTGCCCTGAACTACTGAGTCCCTAAACACTTAACCAGGATTCCTAATTTTCTGCAGACCTTATGCCCCGACTTTTGGCGCACATGTATCTTAGCAGGACAGCCAGCGTGCTGGCCACTTCCTGCTCTCTAGCTCTGATTGTCACGATGACATCATTAAGTCAGGCTGGAGTGACACTCTGCAGAATGTCTAGATGATTACGTTGGATCGGATCAGATTGTGACAGAGAGCTGGGGAGTCAGCACGGAGCTGGGCAAGACCACGAATGTGCACCCCCGTCTGTTCCAGGCACTCAGACTGGCAATAACGTGTTCATCACAGCAGCAGCAGCATGTCAGGTGGCACAGGTTGTGCTCATCTCTCCTAGTAAAGCCGCCCGGCCTGGTGCCGCTGCTGCGATCAGGTGATCACTGGCTAAGTTGTAGTGTTAACCGTGACGGCAATAGGCCATCTGGCCTCCTCAGGGGTCATGCCTAGGAATCAAAGGGTCTTGTGATGGAGTCCATCACCCTTGCAGTCTTGAAGGATGGCACTGACCTCTGCCGTTCCACCTAAAATGTGTGGTGAGTAGGTGGGCAGCTTCAGTTGGCCTTCCCCGCCGTGGTCACACTTGCTCCCCATGACAGGGAATTAATGCGAGCTGCTAATTATATCCGTCCCTATTGTGCACTCGGGAACCAGAGGATGACCACGGTTGTGTCGGAGGACCCTTTGGATCGCTGTGAGACAGGCTCCACCACATGTCACCTGGCCTCCTTGCGCTCTCTCTTTGACGTGGATGGAGACATGACCACATTTGGAGTCCTCTGGTGGGTCAGCTCAGCCCTGTACACAACGGCTTTGGAAGTATCTGAGTGTGCCTCCTCCGCCAGTGTACAATGACACTGATTAATGGCTGCTTCTGAGAACCAATGCAGATTCGTCAACCAGACTGCGGATTATGATTTTCGTGTGTTTTGGCCCGTGACATCAGCTTATTTGCTCTTGGTCTGTTCCTCTTGGCCACCCATGTATCTCAGGTTTAGGGGCACCGCGGTCAGTCAGCTGCCACTGAAGATCCTGTGGGTTAAGGCCTCCCGGTGTTGCTACTCATGGGAATTACACCCACCTTGCCTCTGATGGTTAAGTGCTGCCGCCTTGTCCCTCCTGTCCTGCAATCCTGTCATCCCCATTGACGTTAAGTAGCCCCGTCCGCGGTAGCATCTCCTACATCAGCCCCGGCTGGCAGAGGCCACCCCCCACCGAACTTCTCAACAGTGCTTATGTGTCCTCGCTAACTCGTTCCTCATGTCCTTGGAGAAACGACTATTCTCTGTGCCCTTGCAGGACCATAATATGTGGTGGGTGCTCTTGTCGTCCATAACAACTCATTCCAGCATGCCTAGCCGTCTTCTGACTCCTTCCTCGGTCCTCTGCTGGGACAATTCGGGCACTTCAGCTCCGTTGCTATAGGCCACTGCTTTGTCCAAGCTTGAGGGAGTCGTTTCCAGCAAGGTGTTAGGACGGGCTCGTGTGTCCTTGTCAGGAGATGGGAGACTGCTCTCCTCTCCCGTATCAACACGCTCCCCCTACCCAGGCACTGTGCCAGTCTCCAGCCCACCTCCTTGGTCCACCTGCTTCCCAAACCCCCTCCGGTGCGTGCTCTCCCGGTCCCTGCTGCTACACATTATCCAGCTTCTTAAGTATTTGGGTTGAATAATCAATTCTTTCCCCCTCATACTTGGGACAGTGCTTCTCTACATCCTAAGACTTGACCCTAGTTTTTGGTTTGGAAGCCCTGAAGGGAGGCAGGAGGGATCTTGAGAAACATCAGTTTGTAAGCGATCTTCCTGAAGGAGGCCTTTGCATGGTCTCCAGGCAAAGGGAACCTGCTTTCCTCGGACAGGGTGGAGGCACTCCCTCCAGCCCAGAAGGTTCTCAGAAACATGGGAGCTCAAAAAAATTTTTTAATGTTTATTTATTTATTTTTGAGAGAGACAGCATGAGAAGGGAAAGGGCAGAGAGAGAGGGAGACAGAGAATCCCAAGCAGGCTCCACGCTGTCAGCAGAGAGCTCGATGCGGGGCTTGAACTCACGGACTATGAGATCATTACCTGAGCGGAAGTCAAGAGTTAGATGCTTAACTGAATGAGACACCCAGGTGCCCCAGGAATTCAAAATTTAAAAAAAATTATTTAAAAGAAATTTAATGTATTTTTTTAAAAAATTTATTTCTGAGAGAGAGACAGCGTGAGCAGGGGAGAGTCAGAGAGAGAGGGAGACACAGAATCTGAAGCAGCCTCCAGGCTCTGAGCTGTCAGCATAGAGCCCGACGCGGGGCTCAAACCCACGAACCGTGAGATCATGACCGGAGCCGAAACCAAGAGTTGGACACTTGACCGACTGAGCCTCCTAGACGCCCCTCATTCTAAGACTTTAACGGGGGGAGACTTGCTGGGGTTCCAATTCCAGCTTCCTTTGTTATCTGCGCTCTTACATTCAGACCTCGGGCTTGAGTGAATGGTTGGCTAACCTGAGCCTAATATTTTCTTCCTCTGGAGATTCTCTGGGGATTAACAGAAGCCAATTGACGCCACAGCCAAAAGCATCACCTCTCTTCTCTCTCCAACACTGGAGCAACTGCATAAGCCAGTGTGCCTTCTTCCACTTGTACCCCCTCCTAATTCACCAGGATGCGAATCTCAGTCATAGGGTTGCCCCAACACTCCAGCGGGTATCAACACCCTGCAAAGGTGGGCTCATGAGGGATCACATTCCAGACTCCCAAGCTAGCTGTCAGCACAGAGCCCGATGCGGGGCTTGAACCCACGGACTGTGAGATCATGACCTGAGCCAAAGTCG